AGCGTTAGGAATCTGAAAGATTTGCCTTTATAGGTCACTAGATTTCACTTGCCTTTACAGCATATCACTTCAGTTCTGTCTTTTTGGTGCAGTTCCTGGAGCTGATTCGAGAAATGCAGTTCTGTGGATATGTACGGCTTGACCCTTGCATTTGTGACTATCCAGAAGGCGGCTGCTCAGCTGACATCTATGTCAGCAATAATGAGATTCACTGCTGCATAAAATTGCCTACTAACCAAACCAAAGAGGTCAGCTTTAAAATCGACAGGTTAAGAAGTTGGCAGGTTACTTTTCTTGTAAGTACTTCACTGATTCTCTATCTGCATTCACTTTTCCTTCATGAAAACTAAGGTAGTCAGGGAAAGGCAGATCTGGGGAGAAGGAGGTGGTCTGTTTTAAATCCCTTTCACTTGCTTATATTCCCCCTCCAAACCTGTTCTGAAACATACTGCCTTGGCAGCCCTTACAGCAGTAACCATCTAGCCTTGCTCTGCTGTATTTCTCCCTTCTGTGGTATTCCATTTCATGCTTTACCTGCCTCTTTGCTTTCCTGTTGGAGGTACAGTTGTCAAGAGTTTTGTGTGGGAGCAAAACAACTGCTTTAGCCATCTTTAGGCTGCTAAAGACTCCCTCATCCTGCCTCCCACTTGCTCCCTCCCTGAGGAGAACTGTTCTGGTACAGATTTCAGCTGCTTTATTTATATGCTGTATAAAATGAACCTGACTAGTTCTGATTTAAGGCTGAACACCTTAATGTTGCTTTTAGGGTTGGGTTTTTTTTTTTGTGCATTAGCTGGTTTTATTTTTGTTTTACAGAGTGCTACAAAGGATGGTGAAGACACACTGGAGCTTAGATTTGAGTACAATGACTCAGGCACATGGCAGTGGATAATTTTTTACACAAAACAGGTTAGTTCTCAGTCGTTTTAGGAAAGGATCAGATTAAACTGTATCGTCCAGCCATAGGGAATTTTCAGAGGTGGCTAATCCATCTCTACCAGAGAGCAGCAGTGATGCTTTCAAGCAGGTTAGCCTGGGGACAGAGTTATGTGCGGAAAAGCATCTGAGTTCCTAGTGTAAGGGGAGGAGAATTTTTGTTTTCCATTGAAGAGAAATGTCTAGCAATCAGCAGCAAGCCTAGGATGGAGTGTGGACAAGAGCCATTTATATAATGGACTCAGTAAGTATCCAAAATCATTAATTGGTCTAGACCTACCTAAGGTCAAGGGCTCCCATTTCCACAAAAATCTTGTTGTTCAAATATAAATATATGCCATGTTAACACAGGTTAATGGAGGGTGTAAATATGTGACATCAGAAGTATATTTTTTTTACATATAAATAATTCTTAAATAAGATTTTATAGGGTCCCAGTCCTCCTACTGTTTTTCAGGCAGCTCTTTAAAGAGAAAGATATCCAGGAATTCAAGTCATCCATCTGTGGTTATGCTGCCTAGCAAATAATCCAGATTCTGCAGTATCAAAGACAGCACTAGTCTCAGTTTGGGTACAGAGCTTCTATAAAAAGTGCAGAGCCTGCTATTCAAGTAAACTGCTTCTCTTTCTTGCCTCTGAGACCAACCCAGCAGCAGAAAGGATTTTTCAAGTGAAAACAAACGCTTAATGTCTCACACGACTTCTGAATTTTGGGGTGATGATGTAGTTCACACAGGTATTTAGTAAGTGTTATTTTCCTTCCACACTTAGGTTTTCTGAGAACATGAGCCATAAGCAGTAAGCTTTCTAGTTTCTTTCCTGTTGGAGGAAAAAACCCCAAAATCAACTTAATTCAGTATTAATTCTCTGTGAAATACATTAGGGTTGTGCTTAATGCAGTGACTTGTTGACTAGCAAACCTGTGTCTCGCTTTGCTCAGAAGTGTGAGGAAGAGCTAAAGGCCAGAAATGTGCTTCTATGTGGAAGAAGCAAGGGTTTGATCCAAGAGCCCAGTGCAGCAAATGGCATGACTGGATGATCTGGAGTTTAACCAGAGATGGTTCCCCACTTCACCACTGATGTTGTAGAATGCTTTGTCTTTGATTCATCTCTTGGTGCTTGACACCCTACCTGAGATGCAGCTTTTTTGGGAGTAATTGCATCCAGGTGCATCTCCATGGTGCAGTTCAGACCTTAACTTTGTCTGCTGCATCCCAAAGAGTTCTACATGCTTATTGGACAGCATAAGGAACTAAGAACACCACCACTCCTCTCTGAGGTGCTTTTGGTAGGTACCCAGTATGTAGGATGAATGCATACTGCTCTGTTCATATTAGGTGTGCAAGATGCGACTCTGAGATGGTCTACAAACAGCTGCAGCCATGTCAAGTAACCACCAGGCCTTTGATTTTTGGCAGTGCTGAATGCCAAAAACTCCAGCTTGCTTCATTTGCTGAAGTGGTTTCGATGCTTTTGATTAACATTACTTAGTCTTTAGTGTAATTTAGTAGCCTTTAAGGTAGGAGCCACAGACAACTAGAGAGAATAACTTGCCTCACAAAACCAGTCATAAAAATTCTTCTTCTCCACTCTGAGCATTGCTGTGAGGGTTAGTCATGCTGAGGCCAGGCTTAAGAAACTGCACTGAGTCTGGTGCACTGTGAGGATGTTGAGCACACAGTAAAATAACTGACTCAGGGAAGTAACAGTTCAGTATTAGGGACTGCAGTTTTGTGGGGAAGGATGAATGGAAGAGTTGATTCCATCTTTTAATAGAAGAAATCAGAATGTTCTGTGGTTTATCCTCTTTAGGCCTTTTTGCTCAGTAGCTGCTTGAAGAAAATGATATCAGAACAGATGATGAAGGCAGCCAAAGAAGGCCAAGAAATGGTGAGCAGGTGTGTATGTTGGTGTCAGAATTTGTATTTGAAAGAAATAAGCTTGCTACTCCAGCATTCTTTCAAACGTCCTGAGAGAAGTCCCATTGAGGAAAAGGATCTTGCATGTTCCAAGATTTCAGTACAGAATTAATTGACTAAAAAGTACATCTTTGGTCAGTTTTACAGAATAAACCACCCTTAACATTTCAAATATTATCATCACAGTTTTAATAATGTTTTGTCTTCTCTCTGCTTGACTTTAATTTTTGCTGCATATGATAAAGGATATCTATGGCATAATTTTTGTATGTTCTGCACTACCCTGTTGTATCCATTTCTGGCTTACACGTTTCCCCCCCACTTCACTTGCTTGCTCCATCTGCTGCAATGTTAGACCAATCTGAGATCTGTGACATTCACACCGAGAAACATTTTGGTTTTAAATAGAAGTGTTAATTACATGAAATTCAGGTTTGTAGCTAAAATACTTCTGCTGTCTTTTGTGTAGCCTTTAAGGATGAAAATGTTTAGATACTTGTTATTTTAAAAAATAATTTCCAGCATTAATAAAGGCTTTGTTTAACCTTGTGCTAGCTAAAGATTTTGAATGTCTGCTAACTGAAAACTTCTGAAGAGAAAAAAGGAAAGGAACATGTGTGATCTTCTAGACCCATGCTGATTACAGTGAGCAATGAGGCAGTGAACAGTGTGTTATTTCATAGCTTTAAACTATAAATGATTCAGAAGAAAAGACCAATTTTAATTTTGGAATAGATTTGATCTCCAAGTTTATTTGTACTGGAAGTACAGTAGACCTTTAACTATGAAGATGAGCATTCATTACTTAAATATTTAGCTGTTGCTAGAAATTGCTAACCAGCTTGGTTAGCTTGGAATAAAACAGAAATATGAAAGAAGGGTAACTATGCTAGCTAATTTCCTACACTTTCTGCTGGGTTAAACTGAATGCTGCTTTGCTCAGTGTAGTCTGTTACAGTAGCTGGGGGAGCATTTAATCTTATTCTAAATTTAAATTTTTCAATCTGCTTAGGAGATGAAGATGCCTGAATCCACAACAAACAGTAAGAAATCCAGCATCCAACAAAAGCAGGTTAGTGCATGAGAAATTGTCTCCAAGATGTAAATACAGTGTGTCTTGCTTGCTTAGTGCTGTTTAGCCCAGCCTCTGTTTTTCTGGTTAGGGATGCTCCTAGTAAGTTTAATATGAACTTCTTCAGGCAGGAGAAGGAGCTAAACTTGAATTTATGGAGGAAGAAGAGGGCAAGAAATGTATCTGAATGAAAAATTTATTTTAGTTGGGATTTAATGACAACTTGCTTAATTTTATTGGTGTTTGGCAGTGTTTCTGAATGAGACACTTGAGGTTTAAGAAAGAGTATATACAGATTGCGTACATCCACATGCAGCCCCTGATGTAGTTGACAGACTTGTACTTGGATTCCACACTGGGATTGTTTATGCATGTGGATTGTTCTTGATTTTCTTATGAAATCTGACTGCTGCACTGGATTGTCTATTCAAACAAGAATTTACAGGCTGTGATGCTGATCTCTTATCACTATACTCCTATAAAGAGGGTAGATTAGATACTAGGAGGAAGTTCTTAACTGTAAGGATGGTGAGGCATGGGAGCAGGTTGCCCAGAGAAGCTGTGGCTGCCCCATCCCTGAGTGGGGATGGGGCTGGGAGCAACCTGGTCTAATGGGAGGTATTCCTGCCCATGGCAGGGGGTTGGAACTAGATGATCTTTAAGGTCCCTTCCAACCCAAACCATTCTATGATACGATTCTATGACGTGTTTTGGAACTGCCATTCAATCCGTACCACACCTATACACTGAAATAAGCCTTAAGAGCAGAGGTGAATGTTCTTTTGTCCTGTTCCAGCAGGGAAAATAAAATCTGTTCTCTCAAGTGTCTCATAAAGAGATCAACCACTGCTCCTGAAGAGTATCATGTCAGATTTTCTAGCTTAATTTTGTATTTGCCTATAATTATTGAAATGCATATACTCCTTAACCGTCTATTTGTTTCACTGCAGGTAGTTCATTCGGGTTTTAGACCAAAGAAAAGAGTTTTGGTTAGGCCAAATGAACATGACTGTATTTGAGAAAATAAGCGAAGTGGACCTGTAATAGTTTATTTTGGATATTGTCTTTCAACATTAATTATCTGGGAATAATAAACCCATAGTTGAAACCTTAAAGTATAACGGCAAAAAAACACCAACCCCAATCTTCAGTGTAGTTCCTTGCCTTTGCAGAGTCCTTTGTAGTATTTACAACTCTATTCAACCAGTTTGAATGGGTGCTGAGAATCTGGAGATGTCTTGCATAGATGCTTTTTTTACTTCACACCCCCCCCTCCCAGACTGAAACTGTTGGAGCAGAAAGGGGAGGGCTAATTAAATATGGTGCTATGGTATTAGAGGAGGAAAAAATAGTTACTTATCAGTTATGTTTCTGTGAGTATTGTGGTTTTTCGTGATGGCTGAGCAAGCTGTTGCCACCTAGACATTGTCTGGAAAAGGCATTCCTAGTGAATAGAAAAGGATTTCCTACAATAATTCCCCTTATCAGGGCCAGTCATTCCTTTCTGGAATGTGGTGGTGATGTGGTGCCCTCATTGACCTGTTGGGATACCAGCAGTGCTGATTCAGAAGCTGCCACGCTTTGGAGAATGAGGGTATTAACCAAGTGTGGGGAGGGCATCAGTTAACCTTTGTCACTACATCAGAAGTTGTGCTGGTTTACACAGATGACACTGGGGAAAGCAAGTACCTGAGGCAGCTGGATAAAGGTAGGCATGCCATTAGCCACATGACTAAGTTACCTGCTTCTGCAAGAAGACTAGTCTAAACCATGCTACTCTCCATACCAAGCTAGAAGGATGTTGGGTTCTTCTTACTGTGCTCCCTTTGAAGGGCAGGATCAGGTGTGAGAAAAGGGGAAGGAAGTAAAAATAATAATTTATAGAAAGTCCCAGTCATATTTTGGAGGAAGTCAAATACCTTCTGCGCCTTTTTATACTTACACTACAACCCCTTGGTGCTGGAGACATACCAAGGCTAGAGGAGCTGCACTACTGCCTGCATTTCCAGGTTGCTGATTTGGGCGTGTGGCACACACAGCAGCGTCACCCAAGCGGTCGTTAAACAACTTTGTGGCGTTTCCTTTATTTAACAAGCACAGTCATCTGTTACATTTCCCCCTCCCCGGACCCCCGGTTTTCTCCATTCCAGCTGTTGCTCCTCTCCTCTCCGTGCCATTTTCTGCCTCGCTCTTCGTTCCCGACTCGGCCAAGGCCGCCCCATGGGGGTTGCAGCCCGGCGCCGTTGCAGCCCGCCGCCCTCGCTCCCGTTGTGGGGTTTACTTCCCGGTGCAGCCGGGTAAGCGACTCAATACACAA